ACTCACTGACTTGAAATCACCACATATTCGTTTCTCCAATGGATATTCGTCAGTTTTTCCATTAAAAATCTAAGAATTTATACATGTCTAATGTAACTGCTAATATATGTATTATATATATTATTGACTTACTTCAACTTTTTGCAAATCACAATCATCGCTATCCAATAAATTATAATTTAAAATTTCTAGTTTTATTTTAGTACCTGGGGGCTGCTGTATTAGATAAAGACAAATTTCTGCATTTATGTGGCCGCCGATGGTAGCTCTTGGCTCAGTGAAAATTCCACCACAGTTCGGTGAACTTGGTATCACCTCATAATGTAATTGAAATGAACTGTCTTCTCGAAAAGCATCTGTGTGGAAATGTATGCTAATTATATTTGAAGATGTATAGAAAGGAGCAGGTTTTTCAGACTCGCAGAAAGTTTTCACGAGGCGATCTGAGTCGTAAATCTTTAGCGTATCTTGTGTACAATTAGAATCACCACCAAGATTAATTTCATAAAAGCGCAATACAAATCGATAACCAAAACTCGCTTCCAACTCCCATTCACATTCACGGTTAATAGGTGTCTTTCCGGGATAGCCTGGAGACTTTATTACATCGCTGTTACCCATACCCAATTCAAATTGACCACCACATGTGTGAGGCTGTGATACCCACGAAAATTTAAAGCCAGTTGAAGTAGTTTCATTATCCGTACGAAACCAAAAAAATACTTCTTGATGAGAAGTTATAATGGTACCGCCGCGAGGCAAATCGCTTCCACAGAAGCGTCCCACAAGCTGCGCACTGAGTGAACGACCATCGTGTATTTGCAGAAAATCTTTGCTGCAGTCAAGCGACGTTTGCAAATCAAATTTACTGAAAGTTATATTGAGAATTTTATTAGTTGTGGTACGTATGATCCATGCGCAACGTTCTCTATTTTCGTAGTTACCACCCTCTGGTGGATAGATCACTTCTCCTGTTTCTTGTCTCAAAACGGAACCGCAAATTTCACGTTGTATTTCACAGTTTTTTCCTGTAGTGCCACGTTGACATGCACAACGATACTTATTTTTCGGAGCCAACTTACAACTACCACCATTTGAACATGGATTTGGATGGCATGCGTCATTTTTTTCACATGTAGCACCCATATAGCCTTCAGGACATATACAACGCGTGCCCTCACCATTCACTTCACATGTTCCGTTATTCTACAAAATATAAACAAATTCAACATTGTGACTTATAACAGATCTGTGGAATATACTTGCCTTACATTCATGATTCTCACATGGATGTGTGGCTTTTTCCGATTTACAACCATTTTCCCCAAAACCGTGACCAGACAAACCGACTGGACAAGTGCAAACCACTGTATCCGATATATACTCACATTTTGCTTTAGGATGACAAATATTTTCTGAACTACAATCATTGGAAGGAGCCGGTATACAAATATGACCATCACCCAACCAACCTTCTGGACAATTGCCACAGTGATATGATCCCTAATAGTAAAGACATGAAATTCATCGTCAATTCAAAAAAATGAAATTGATTTCTCTATTTATTTTATAGTACCTCAGTATTTATACAGTTTACTTTCGGTATTAAACTGCAACCACCGTTATCGATAGCGCACTCATCCACGTCAAGACAAGTAATGCCATTTCCAGTGTATCCATTTGGACATGGACCACATTTAAAACTACCTGGCATATTAATACACTCACTATGGCAAGGATTAGTGTGAAGCTCACATTCGTTAATATCGATTACACATGCTGGAGAAGAATTTGTATATGTCCAGCCAACATCGCAAATGCAAGTGTAGTTATGTATATTATTGGCGCTCACACATGTGCCATGGCCGCAGAGTTCGTCTCCATTATATTTTTCACAAATCATCTCACGAAGACGGCAGTGAATACCAGAAAAACCAGCAGCACACTCACAACTATAATAATAATATTGAAATCAGTTATCAAATGGCAAATATTATTACTGAAAGCTTTTTTTTTCTAAAAAATTGATCATTATTTGGGCGTAGTCTGGGCGAAATCCATAAATCAAAACAATCTCCAAACTACGCCCATGATGGTATTGAAATATCATAGCATTGTATGTAAGGACATATACTTGAAATCAAAGCATTTGACTATCAAATACAATTGAATAATACTAATGTATTATTAGGAATAGATCAGATCATACAACACCAAAACTATAGAAAAAGGAAACTATAATACATTAGCAATCTACGAGTAGTATAGGTATTTTTCATTTTTATAGTTTATAAAATAGTAATGTTAGCGTTGGAACTTACCGATAACTTCCTGGAGTATTAATACATCGTCCATTATTTTGGCATCCTAGATCAGTATTGTTAAATTGAGCACACTCATCAACGTCACTATCACAAGTTTTTCCCTTAAAAAATAAAACGAAGTTGATATAGCTAGATATTTCGAAGCATAATGTACAATCAATTTCTTCAATTCATGTACATCAAATATCAATAGATAGAAACAGTTTAAAGAGAATGAACTTTTAAACATCTATTTTACTATATTTAAATTTTAAAATAGGTATCGTTTTCAAATTCGATCACATCTTCCGAACCCATTTACAATTCCTCTAAATAAGTTAGTACATTTTAGAACAAGTTTCAGAAGACATTAACGTACACTTCGTCGTGATAGTATTATCTATCGCAAGTAAAAAACAGCAGACCTTAAAGAAAGTTTTTAAGACTGTAATGTACTATTAATTTAGTAGTTCCTTTTCTTTGTTTTACTATGGTCGTTAATCATCATATTTCCCGTTGCTAACTTTATTTAAACAACTATTGATGGTGTTCTAAAATCATAATATGGCTGTATATTCTGGTTATAGGTCCAATACTGTACGGTGGCTTACTTGTCTGATGGAAAACACTCTATAAGTAATACAATGTTAATAAACTAAACAGACACCAAAAAGCGCAAGCGTTGAAACTATTAGGAATATAAGAATATATAACATATGTATAATATATACAGAATATATATATAAGAATATATATATAAAAATATATATAAATAAAAATACATAAATAAGTGAGATCAGTTTTAATACTTTATTGAGATTATCATGATCGGATTTGTGGTAGCAAAACGGCATTTGTACTCACTTAGATTGCAGAGAAAACTCCGTCTTCACTAAAACGATTTTACTAATATACTTAAACATTGAAGTATGACAAGATTTCGGTGCAAAACTTATAACTAACACCTCTTGACTGGACATAATTTACATTGAATGACCATAGTTCATAAATGAGTATATCTATATTTTATACATATGTATACAAAGTACTATTTTGGAATGCCCATAGATGAATAACTCAATTAAAATGATGAACCTAATCAGTAAGCAAAGTCTGTCAAAGTATGAGAATATCTGAAGAATAATATTTTTATTTTTATTTAATATTTTTTTTTATTATATTGTGTTCGCACTAAGGTCTTAAATATAATGTTTTGCTAATTAAAAATTTTATGTGTGATGACAATGAATACAATTTGAGTAGAAATAACCTTAAAAGGCAACTTTCAAATCTAAAGAAGTGTTTCAATTATTTATTTATTGATTTTGTCCATGGTTCAAATTTGACTGGATTCAATTCATAACGTTACTTGTAGTGCAATCATTTCATAGGGATAATTAATCTAAAAGTATTTTTAAAGATAACAGATAATAGGTATTTAGTGATACCCAAAACAGCTATATGGTTAGCCCAAGAACTCGCTTGATTAAAATATTTCTTCATAATTTCTTTTAATATGGACATTTTTTCTCAGTGTAAAAGTCTATCTCAAGCAATGATGACTGCGCTAATATGCGGAGGTGAACGACGCACACCTTAACATAACTTGCAAAATGTCAAAAAATAATGTATATACTTATATTCATTAACTATCTTTACATCGAGAAATAAAATTATTTATTCCATTTACGTATTCATATTTTTAAAGATTAAAGTTTTAGCAAAAACACTAGGTGTGCGGAGTAGCTGACCGCACATTTATACGTTGCAAGTGCGTCCGATTTTGTTTAATCACTGCATAGACATGTATGGTTTTGATTACAGACGACACTTTTGTTTGAAAAAAGTTGGTTTGATGTTATGAGAAGTTGTGTTTATTCCAGATTGATATAATACTAAACTTATATATCATTTTTGATTTCAACAGTACATGTAAAAACAACATTGTAGAAAAGCTGCACACATTTTCAGAAAGGCACGCATCGTCACTGATCTCAAAATGTTGAAATGTTGAACTTGATAGAATGTAAGGAATGAAGAGATATCTTTAATATTTTATTTGATAATGTCGAGCTAATATTGGAGTTAACATATGAAAATTATTTCTAACCTTCCTCTTCTTCTTTTGATTGGGAGTAATGACAGATGGTTTAGGAACATAAGTCACTGTAGATATTTAAGAATTTTCTAAGAAAGGGGTTTCAGAGAAGATGTAAATGAATGCTATTATTATATGGATAAATCAATTATATAAAATTGATAAAATTGATGTTTAAATCAACTGCATAAATGCACTTGCTTCTTCAGTTTCCTGCAATATTGTATATTATTTAATTATTTGCAAGGGCCATGACGTACAGACATTGCACGTTCTACAGAGAATTGCATGACAGTCGATATTTCTCTATTTCTCTCATTCTCAATATTTTAATTTATAATTAAAACAACAACAACTTTATATTTGCCGTGACTATAACTCCCTGAATGACATGCTTTTAAACAATTCGATCGATTCGATCTTTTCTATTTTGCACAATTTTAACAAAATAAGAATTTTTATTATTTATCTTGCTTTGTATTAACTACTCAGTGAATTTTTTTTTATTGTATCTGACTCCATACGCCCCCAAAAAACTGTTTAGTTAATATTGAAATATTTTTTGTTATATTTTATTAACACTTACCACCCATCCTTCGGTGCATAAGCAAATGAAATCATTGAATTGATCATAGCAGGAGCCACCATTTTTACATGGAATCGTATTATTGACAGTGCACTCATCTATTCTAGCATCTCTTTCGATCGATTCAATGCGACCGTGTAGTTGTCGGATTTTAAATAAACCGGATCGCAAGTCTCGTCTTAACTTGTTAAACCGTGTTCTATTTACATAATTTCTAAGCCTTCTTTCTAAACCGCGTAAGTCCCGTTTAAAGGCATTTAACTGCTTAGTCAATTCGTCTGTCGAAACCATGCTATTTGCTTCTACCTGTGTATTGTTTTCTTGAAGAGCATTCAAAATTTCCATTAAATTGACATCATTTATATTCAGAGCAGAATTTGGCGATAAAGAAAATACAATATCTTTATCATAAACCGCCTCTAAAATGAGGTTGCCATCATCTTCAATGAATATTTTCGGTTGTTGTTCAAAGTCACACAGTACTAGATTGCAACATAGTCCACACAGAAGGATGACGAAGGAAAATGTATACATATTAATAATAGTAATAATAATATAGTTTTTTCAAACTATTAAAGCTTAATTTTTCAAATTTTTTGCACTCAAATATTATTTTCTTTATAATAAAATCTCTTTCAATCCAAAATCTCTTTCAAGTATTTTAATTATTTTTTACACAAATTTTCCACACAATTGAAGCCTCAACTTAGCAATTTTAAGACCGATTTTAACTGAAACGGAAACCTCAAATGTGGGTGTATTTATACCAAAAGGGGCGTTCAATATTATCAGTTCGGGACGTACGAGGTATTTTTTGACAAAAAATTTGTACTTTTTTTTTAATAAGTGGTACCAAAAATATAATTTTAAATTCAGATAAATAAAAGGTATAAAATCATCTTTATATGTATATGCATGTGCAGGAATATCTTGAAAAATTTGCGTTATCTTGAAATTTTCTTCAACAACACACCATAAAATTACTTAATTCCAAACAGATTGCCTGAAGCTAGAAAACCGTTAACGTCTGTGATTAAATAATATCGACATTAAGTTCTGTTTGCTCAAATACGAACAGACAAGATCAAATGGATTAATGCGAAATCGATAAGGGAGTATGATGAGAGTTATCTATTTTTGTGAATTTACAAACATTAGTTTGAGAAGCTCACATACAATTGATAATAAATATTGGTTTGCTTTTCATTAAATATTAATAGCGGACTTGTGAATTCGTTTGTTCCAACTTAAATTGATTATGACAATTTAAAAAGGCAATCGAGTCATATTTAATCTAATATCGTGTTTATTATACATAAAACTAATTATATCACCGTCATCTAATAGATATATTTACTATACGATGACCTATATGCTATTCGTCGCGTGGAATTATAAATCTACTGACAACTTGGTAATCATTTAAATATATATACTCAAAGTCTATTATAAGAAATATAATCCGATTAAGCATAATCAAATTAAATATTATTATTACAGGGAGCAGCAGCGTATCCATGGAGTAGCGGGAGGTGTTTCAAGGAGATTCTGAAAGAATCTAAGTACTATAAAAATTATACAATTCTTATATATTCTTTTAAAATTACTTTCAAAATTGTTAATTATATAAAATTTAAAAATTTGTGCTCATAGTATTAGAAAACTGTTTTTACTTTATTTAACGAACTTACTTATTTATTTAGCACGAATAACCCCTTCTTAGATTTCAGTCGAACATAACACTATTTATGTTCCGTGCGTATCTGCTTCAGCTTTGTACATCAAATGCGGTTAGTGCTATCTAAACTTGATCACGCCATCGGAGAACAGTCTCCACTTAATTCTTCTTTCTATGGCTACCGTTTAAAGTACTTATTTTGCTGCAATATTTTATTCCATTTCATGACATGTTCAACCCAGTGAAGCTATTGAAATAAAGTCAATGTTTTGATAAAACTTGTATAGTTTGGTTTTCATTCGAATAGGTTTGCCATAACCTACTAAAAGAAAACCCATATCTTTAAAAAAAACTATTTCTAAAACTCAGAATTACTTCATTATTATAGAGATTGTGTCGGGTAAAAAACAAACCGAACCGTTTATGCAGAGGTTTAACTAGCCGGATCCCAGTTTAGTCCTATAATAAGTTTATTTCTTTGGAGCAGTGGAAAGCTGAGACGAGTATGTAAGGATTGAGAAATGTCAATTTCGATTGTTACAGAAATGTCAATTTCAAAACTCGTGGACGATGAATTCGCCAAGGAATATACATTTCTTTGGCGTGGAAAAAATGGATTTGTAATAGAAATGTAAATTTCTACCACACTTGGAGAGGGTTGATGTAATGTGAATTTCGTTAGCCGGGGATGATGTAATTGTGATTGAAAATGGAAATTACTATTACCTTGTAAACGTTAGCCGTGTACATTTAAAATTTCTACTTCTGCTTCTGACACACTCAGCACTTATTAGCACATTCTGGATAACAGCTCGTTGCTTTACTAACTGCCCAGATTGCATATTCGACGAATCTTTTATACTTGAGAAGTGCAATATGCATTATTGTTATATATTTTTTGAAACACCATATTTTTTGAAGAAGTAAATTTTCTGTTTTTATTGTAATGTTGGTGGTTGTTTTTAACAATTGTTTTGACAACAGTAATTCTTTGACTGATCTCCAAACTAATTCCGTATTGGTATTTATGGCAGTCCCAAAGTAGATTGGATCTCTGATAACTTTAGAAGTATCGCAAATTTAAAAATAAAATGAAGTCTTATTTAACGCAAAACCTTATTTTTATTCAGGTTTATTTGCCTGACTGATGTTATTATCACAATTATATCTTTAAATTCAGATTTTTGCGAATTTCGCATTGCCTTGATTCCAGTAACGCAAGCCTCAGAGTTAAGAAAGGATTTCGCCAATTGAATAGGTGCGACTTTTGTATTGAGGGTTCAGATATTTCAAATACTTACCCATATGTCATAGCATTTATTTCATATACAATAGTTGTCCAACTTGAAGATTTTTATTGTTCATTACTGGCAGGTGTTCCACATACTGAACATATGAAAATGCTGAAAATACGGCCTACTGTACGAATTTTTGTTAATATATTAGTACATTACTCAAGTATTAATCCAGGGTTACCATGTAGACATTGTGCGACGACTTGGATTGGGCACAATAAGAATTGTGATAATATCTTTCCATTAGAAGTGATGATTACAATCGTACGAGTATAACTTCCATTCGAACTGAACCATAAAACTCATATTTATATTGTTTTATTGTACTGTTTAAATTGTCTGTTCAGTATAGATGAAACTCTCTTTAATACGAGTTTAATATGATTCGTATTATAATGGACAATTATTCATTCTTATTTATTTTCTTTGAGATTATTTGTGTTGGCATATAACCTATCACTCAACAAGTCGTGTGACTAAGTAAGAAAAATAAATTTTTTCTGCCAAAAATCAATTTTACTCATCAATATAATCTCCTTCAATGGCACTACAATCATTTCAATGCTTCTCTAACTTCTCGATGCCGTGCTTGTAGAAGGATTTCTCTTTTGCCTCAAAATAGGCTTCAGTTTCAGCAATCACTTTTTCATTTGAGATGAATTTCAGCCAGTAGTCGCTTGGGGCGAAATCTGGACTATACGGTGGATGAGGAAGCAATTCGAAGTGTAATTCGTGCAATTTGCCATCGTTTTTATTGACTTGCGACATGGTGCATTGTCTTGGTGAAACAAAATTTTTTTCTTCGCCATATGCAGTCGTTTTTCCATAATTTCTGCTTTCAAACAATACAGTAATGCCGTGTAGTAGTTACTATTGATAGTTTTTCCCTTCTCAAGATAGTCAATGAAGATTATACCATGTGCATCCCAAAGTACTGAAGCCATAACCTTCCCCGATTTGCCTTTGATTGTTGTGCCTTTGGACGCTTCGGACGTGGTTCACCGGCTGCAGTCCACTCAGATGACGATCGTTTTAATTTCGGAATAAAGTGATGGATCCATGTTTCATCCATTGTCACATATCAACGCAAAAAACCTGATTTATTACGTGTAAATATGGCCAAACACTGCTCTGAATCATTAACACGTTGTTGTTTTTGATCGACTGTGAGTAAACGCTTTCTCATGGTCAAATGTTCACTTAAATGGCTATCACTTTTTTTCTGACTAATCGAAATGTCATGAAATTTTACACATGGTCTTTTGAAGTTTGATACTTCATAAACGTCATATGGATTTGACAATGGCGGCGCCATCTGTGTTTCAGCGTTTTAGACGAAATATGAGCATTTTTACAGGCCACTGTGGAGGCTGACAAGCGTTAGTGTTGCTTTAATATATTGGTCATTCGTTGCGAGTTCCAGAAAGAGGCATGCCAATGTGATAATTCTGTTGTTCCCACAGATTCAATATGGGTTGGCACATGGTATAGTGATAACATATTCAATTAACCAAATTTGTAAGGCAAGGTATATGACAAAGCACATATATCAGCTTGCTAATTTAAATGTATTAAGCAGGTATAATGTAAGCGCGGGTAATCCATAAAACTCCTATGAGTGCATTTAGCCTCCAATTCTCAAGGTGTATTGGGTAACAAATAGAGTGATTTAGGTGCATTTACCGTAGCCGTAATGCTAAGATTTTGTGTAAAGGCTTAAAATTCAATTAAAATTCAGAACTTATACAAGTTTGAAGTGCCTAAGAAACCTTGAACATATTTTGTTATGTACTAACTTTGTTACTTACAATAAACAGGAAATAAAATAAAATCAAGTAAACTTTATACAACTTAACAGTCGAGGCCTCTCAAATTTGGCCCATGCGCGTAATTTCATTAATGGCATATTAATGCGATGTTATTAGATCGCCTAATTGCTACTAGCAGGACATCAACGTGTTTTTCTGGAAAAGTCTCATTTTTCCTTCGCAGTTCTCAACTTTATTAGCGCGACTCGGTCACTTTTACTTTGGCTACTGACAAAAAAACACGTTTGTTATTTATGCTTCAACTTACATGTAACTGGTTAAATTGGTATACTACTCTCATCGAGCTAAGTGGTTTGAGTGCCAAATTAGCAAATCTCTGTCAGATTAGATACGATCATAACAATGAATTTTTTTAATTTATTTAAAATTATAAAACATTGTTTAGATTAAACTATATACAAATAATTTTTTTTCAAATTTAGATCGTTCATCATATGTGTAAAAATTTAATGTCCATCCAGATCCATCGAAGTTAGGTGATTTCTTCGAAACAATTGCAATGTGACTACTAGGTATTTTTACAGCATCCCAAGCTCCTGCCCAATTTTGGCCGCATAGAGTTAAAAATACTTCTTCATAACCATTAGGTAAAATTTTATAAATGGTTACATTATCCAGCGGACAATTTACTTTGGATCCCATATCAAAACCTGAAAGATTAAAAATTTAATCAAGATATTAAATAATCGAAAACAAGGAAACAAACTGGAAAAATAAATGCGAATGTAGTTTGGTGAAGGTACTTTTATATCCCATCTACAATTAGAAAAGTTACGATCGTTATCATAATAAGGACTTGATAGTACTCCATCATTGTTGTATATTTCTCCACCACAACCTGCTGGTAACGACCGATTAACTGCTATATACTCAATTTTTATATAACTGAAATGGTCTACATATATTCGTACAGCACTTGTGTTTGTATGTAGAGAACTGTAAGTAAATCTGTCTTGACATGTCTCCAATAATGTTTGATTTGTATGCAAGTCAATAAACTAAAAATTGATAATTGATTAATATTAGACTGTTTACATTAGAAGGTGCTAATACCTTAAGAAAACTGGTGGAGCAGTTATATGTGTTAAAAAATATTGATTGCATGTAGAAACTTATTTTGTAATCATCCGGCACACGTATATCATCCACACACTGTACCTCTTCAAATGTACCCCTATAATAATCGATGTGGTCATTTAATTTAGTGTAGCTGTTGTTACACGCTAAAAAAAGATAATAAAATAATAAAAACTATATAAATATTTGTTAACAAATGTTGTTTAATATTATTAATTTAATATTTTTTAATACATCACTTACTTTGTTGATGTTGAATTGTTATATTGAATCCAGGGTATTCAAAAAATTCGTCACTATGGAAGCTTAGAATAATGGACTTTTCCGAATCATCAATAGGAAGTTTGAAACCAGTTGAATTACCACAATAGTAGGTAGATAACTGCATTAAAAAAATAATTCAAACATTTCAAAACAGATCTTAATTGATTTTATCATTGTAAGTCATTCAGAAAAATTCCTTCTATGGTTTATAAAGTCCTAATAAGTCAGAACGAGTGCAAAAAAGTGCAAAATAACTTGAATGTCTGTAAGGGCTAGAGACAAATGCATAGCGTTTATAATAATTAATAACAAATAAATAACAAATAAAAATCGTGTAAGTGGTTTATTGTGTAATCATTAAGTAATGTCTTTACAAACAGTATGGTATTGAAATTAAAAAACTAAAAATAAAATGTAATTAATTAATTTAATTATTCTACAGCTACTTTATGATTTTGGTCTAATATAACACAGAATGAATTTGTTAATAAACTTTCACAGCAAATTAACAAAACTTCGGAAAAATGCGCGAACATAAAAAAGTCAGTTGCCTTTGGGTACGTTGGCTAATGAACGCTGACCCTGAGCTTCAAATTTGGCAGGGCACAGGTACAATCCCTAGTATTTGCTGTCTTAAAAAATTATTTATGAATAGTTAAATACAAGAATTATTTCTAAGACCACTGATAATGAGTTTTTGGCAAAACAAAACAAAACAGCTGTATGTTCAGTCAAAAATTCAATTAATAAAAACATTAGAAATATAAGAATTTTTGTTGTTGTAGTTCACTACTTTTCACAAAACCTCTGCAATTATTAAAATAAAATTTAAAAACATTGTTGATTTGAAAATTAATATCACATTTATAATGTCAAAGTTACAAATATATTATGGTAAAATATGGCAATAATATTATAATTATTATTATAATTTCGCACTACTGCATGGATTGAGATTTAATTTTACATACTTCCAATTTCCTTTCGAAAGATATTATCATGCAAACAGTTTTAATCATTTTGAATGCTCTTCAAATGAGTGTATCACCTTTTGAGGCAATCTAAGACACTTTCCAGGTATTTTAAGATATTCAGTTTTAATCGTATATATGAGGTCAGATTCCTCTAAATCTCTTTGAATAATTTCCTGCAATCACTTTAAATGATGTTGTGTTTATATACAATTTGTTTATATAACTGCAATGGTTTTGCATTAGTCCAGATTATATATTGAGAAAGACCTATGAATAACTATTAAATACAAACTAAAACAATAACTGAAATCGGCTTTACTTTGTACTCTGTTATTTTGTTCCTGTATTTACAAAAAGTCACTGTCTTATGAGATTTATATAAACCACTACGGTCGAGTAAAAAAATTACTATTTTGTTTTCATTTTTAATAATTTTTTAATCATTAAGAGACCATGATTAATTTAGTGCGGTTGTGATCTCTTAAAGGAACGTTAAAAAGTCTTAAAATTTAAAATTTCTAGAAAACTCTCATTAATCTAAAATATGTTGGTATTTACTATGGTTTTATGTGGATATATAAAAAGTAACTATTTAAGAGCAGACCTTTGATAATGGATATATAGTCAGGTCTTGCCCTATTATCACAGAAGTTTTAAAAACTTATTACAATAGAAAAATAGAAGCATATGCTCCACTAATGCCAAGGAACTACAAACTTTTATAAAAGAGATAGTTGACTTAATGACTGTTTCCCCAATGGTTATAACTGTTTTATACTTAAGATTTGAAACAAAAAATATGATAGAATAGTGAGTTTATAGTGATTGATGATTTGCTTTATAAGAAGTATATCAGACTCAACATCCAAATAATACCATGCATATTCAACGTACTATTTATTACTAATGATTGCACTTCGAAGCGGGATTCTAAATGCTAAACTTCAAGATATGAAGACCACTCTTCTTAAAGTTTTGTCATTCATATGGAACGCAATTAAAAGAAATATTTATAGTACACTTCAGTGAAGAGTAAAGAGTGGTTTGTTTCATATCTTTGTGTGCAGAGGGCAATTGTAGAGATATATGACTTTCTCAGAACTACAGTTGTAGCTTCGGCACATCAGGAATCACATAGTCTGCGATGCTTCGTACAAACTCTTGTTAAAGGAGAATACAACCATTCAATATGCAACTTTTATAATATTAATTAAAAGGTCATTTCAGTAAGTAATTGTGATTCATACTTACATATTCTCCTTGTATATGCAAATAGTCTAAACATTTATTATCCACTTGTGAGGCATTTTGTAAGAGAAACTTGTTGAAGTTTATTACAAAGTTAGATGTTGCTTTAATTTTCCACTTGCAATGTTTATTTGGTGGATAAAGTTCACTAGTATTCTTCAGTGGAAATGCAATATTCAAAATCTAGAAAATT